GTTAGATGGGACGTGTGGGACGGTGTCACAGCCGGAGTGGGTCGCTCTGGGGTCCTAGGTGACCTTGGCCAAGTAACGCGGCCATCAGGGTCCTTCCAGCTGCTGCTACATCGTCCCCCCCTTTACTCCCCCTCTTGCCAGGTGCCCAACACAAGTCACCTGGGAAGAGTGGGGAGAGGAGCACGGTGTGGGAATAGGTGGAAATATCCGGGAAAGAGGCCTTTGTCCCAGAGCCGTGTGCTACACCTTTAGAGAAACAACGATAAGAGGCACGGAACGAGGAGAGGTCCACATGTTCATGTCCTTTTTTAAAAATCTTCTGGCCCAACGGGAGGGCTTACATAGTAAGTATAATGTGAAAGCGGATGTAATCTTTCTAAGCATGTAGTTATTTAGCAGGAGTCTATGTGATTTGGTGTGTCAAAGAGCGGAGCAGTAACTTCTGCATCCCGAGATGGAGCGGGAGGAGGAGGCTGGGCTCATGGGTCCGGGCTTTGCTGGGTCTCCCGTGTGATGCTGCGCAAGTCACTTTCCATCCTTCTGTCCCTGAAAAAAGCAGGGATAATTGTGCTTCCTTCCCATCTGCTTTCCTCAGTAGTAATAATAAAAGGGAAAAGAAAATGTGGAGAAACTGGGACGCAGCAATAGGACTGCCCAGCTCAGTGAACTTGCATGAACATGAGTTTAGCTGCTTTTGAAGTGTTTTGCTTGACACTTATGTTTTATACATACAAAATTTTGTGTTTAAGCTTGTCTTCCTTGAGGGACAGGATTAAGTCTGATTCTCCACTTTCATAAATTTAAACTGCTTTCTAGGAAGTCAGTGGAGTTATGCCAATATGAAGCCAATATAAGTGAAGGGATCATAGATCTGTCCCTTTGATTGGACCTTTTCCTGCTAGTCCTTCTTTTCAGAGCGAAGCATCATCTCATGAAACAAATCATACTTTCTAATATTTTTTTGTCATCCTGAAAAACTGCTTCTGCTTCAAATCATTACTTTGTGGTTATCTTCATTTTAGACTTCTGTTTACTGGTATTTATTATATTGCAGTCTTATGGCTCAGCATCCAAATTCTTACAACAGATGGCAAGGCAGGATGCAAAGGAGTAGTAAAAAAAAAAAAAAACAGGATAAATGCACAACTGCCCATATGTCTGCGAGAGTGATACACATTTATGACTTCAGAACAAAAGGATGTTTTCAGTTCCAGTGCCAGGTTTCTCTGGATTTTCTACCTTGCAGTAAAGTGTTTGAGTTCTTTGGTGTATTTATTTGGTAAATTACAGTGCGTTTTGTCTTCTCTCTTCTCTTTCCAGATAGTTACTACCTTTATTTGTCTGCATTTCCAGAGCAGATCTGTTCATTTTACCTTAAGAATTTTAGGATGAAAGATGGCTCTTCCCTGGGTTTTGGTTTCTATTTTTTCTATTCTGAATAGTGTTCTGCATGTGGAAATGCATAATTTTGCCATGTGCAGAGCAGGGGGGCCAGCACAAAAGAGGTGCTGGGGACCAGAGCAAAATTTGAGACTGTGACTTTTTCTATCTTGGGATTTATTATAATATTAATGATATGTGGCCTCTCTAATCTCTCGAAATAGCAAGCCTGAGGGCAAACTGCCTGCAGGATGGATGGCCTGGCCTGGCCAGACCTTTTAGCTCCATCTCCCTCATTGCTGGGGCCCTTCTTGCCAGTTGTTGCCTGCTGTGGGTCAAATTCAGTCAGATCGGTGAAGTTGTTCTTGATTCACCCTGGCAGATACTCCAGCCCTGCTTTCTCTTCCATTTCATGGTATATTGTAGTGTCAACATCTTTGCTCTCAATCCCTTTGCCTCCCCCCAAAACATTACCACTTCCCTTCTGTTAAAAACATACCTTCTAAATTAGCTTTTCAACTCTATCCAAGAGTCTTGTTTTGGGAAGCTGGTAGATAGTGCCCCAGGTAGAAATCCACACTTTATGTGTCCTGTTAACTCCCAGAGCCACATCTCTGTGGCCTCCTGCCAACTGAAAATAAATAATCATACACTTGTCAAAAGGTATGAGATTTGGACTTTCTTTTTCCTATCTGTTTTACTTTGTTTTGTGTGTGTTATCTGGACTCACGTTTACTTTGCAAAGAGTACTGTAAATTTTTCTACAGCAGAAATGAGTCACTTTTTGTCAAACTTCATATATAGACGGACAATAGATTATAAACATGCTGTCATGATAGGGAGAGGTGGACAAAAGAGGAGTGCTACATGCAATTACAGTGTTTCCTGTGCAGATTGCCAGGCCCTGATACAAATTAACCTCTTTCATTGTTCTTTTTCAAGCATTCCTCCTTTTAATTGCTGTTTTGGAATTGTGCCATTTAGTTATGCCCTTTGAAAGCACCTCACTTAGCCAATCCCATTAGCTTGATAATGCCAAATATTTCAGAGATATTCAGAAGCCACAAGCATCTCCCATTCACTGGGAAGAGGCACCCAGTTCAGTGAGGAGTTACCATCCTCATTTATGTTCCTACTTATTTTTTTCAGATTTAGTTAATAACTGTTTTTAAGTCACTGCCAATTTTCTACCAGAGGTCTCAGATCAATTTTCTCCCACTTAAACATTTTAAATTGTACAATTTGGTATAGAATATGGATGATTGAACATTTTTTCTTGTCCACAAATATAGTATTCAATAGAGCTGGGGCTGTTGAGTCTTATTTGCTTCCCAGAGGCGTAGTTTATGTGTTGTTGTTGTAAGGCATTAAATAGAAACCATGACATGTCACAATTACAACTTGAAATAGGATAATGCCAGAGGTATATTGCCCAAATGTAATCAAATCTAAAATACAACTTATTGCATATACCTATCTTACAGCTGCATATATCTATCTTATGGCTCACTTGATATCGCTGATTGCTATTATCAACACACTGTGGATAATTCTTTACAAGAATCGCCATGTTTTATTTTTTTAAAGCTCAGCTCCCAGCATTTAGATAGCCACAGGCTAATGAAATAGCAAGTTCGTTGAAGCTGAAAGACCTTGTGCTTGTTTAGACTGAATTTTCAAAGTAAGCCAGATATGAAGGTAAGTATTATTCCCTTGTACATCATTTGCTAATGATAATAGTGTGCTTTAATGGTCTTTGCCCAGTAGATCGTCTAGTCTGAGGTAGTCATGGCAATGTTCTTCTGAATACTTACTTACTCTTTAAATGAAAAATTGGCTAGAGTTGGATTCTTTGCATGTTAGTTGGTTTTAAGCAAACTGATGAAACAGAAATTTGCATTATGCAGCATCACATTTATACCCATAACTCATGAGCAGGGTGGAAACCCTCTAAATAGCCCAAAATATTGCCTAAAATAACTGATATTGTGTGACCACACCTCTCCTGATGGAGAATAGGAAACGCTGCCAGTGGGTTATTAGTTGGCAATTGCAAAAATCCCTAAACTTCAGAAATTTGGGTTCTTTGCAAGATGTAGCAGCAGAGTGGCCTAGTGCTTCTCGACTCTTCTGTGTCCTCCTACACTCAAGCTCCCCTGCTCCCTTCTTGCCAACCTGACATCCCTCCATCCAGCTCACAGCCGTCTGTTCGTACAACCGGAGCTTGACAGCGATGCAAAGCACTGCAGAGGGCTTTTACTGTGAGAACTGCTGGAAGATGTCAGCATTAAGGAGAGCTACCCTGCCTAGGATAACACTGCTCAGAGATCTAAGTAGCAGTTTGGAAATGTCTTCATAAAAGCCATGGTTTCCGATCCTAACCAGTTCAGTCCTTAACCTTCTCCTGCAGACAGGCAGCAGAGCGCGAGTTGTTCGTCGCGGCAGGAATTCGGGGTGATTGAGAGTCCCCATCCAAACGCCCCTCCGCGTACGTACACCCAGCTAATCTCACCTGGCGAGAGGCTGAGTTTATTGGCCCTGATCTTAGTGTCGCTTGGATGTGACCACGCGGCGTTGGGTCGGAGCTGGCGCACATCTGCCTGGCCCTGGGCGCTGCTAACAGACATGTTTGCCTCTCAGCAAAAGACCCTTTGAGATGATAGATAATCTTTTCAAAGAGCATAGATTGTGAACGTGAAATGTATTCCAGAAATGGTTTATGTCTTTGAAGCTTATGTTGCACTGGGAGGCTACAGTTTGTTTTTCTGAGTTATTAGGTGTTACCAAAGTGTTTATCTCAGACTATGCCTCTATCTGCTAATCGTGAGACGAAACATCCTGTGGTTCTTCCCAACAGGGTGAAGGTTTCTTTGGTGACTGGTGGACGTTTCTCCTTTCCTGTGCATGTTTTGCTATACTATTGTCCTTGACTTTAGCACTGGCAAATGCAGACGGTTCTGGGGATACTTTGAGATCCTTAAAGATGCAAGTTCTGAAATACAGCACATATAGTATTCAACAGTAATACAAGGTGCCGCATTCAGAGTAACACTTCTAATTATAGCCAGTGAAACAATTCATTTGCAATGTCCCGCTTTGATAGTGTTTATTGAAACAGAAGCCACTTTATAGGTGGAGAGCACATTAAGAGCAAAAAAAAAGCTAGCCCGTTCTATTCAATGGTTTTGATCACCCTCCTGACTTGTTTTCTAGGAATACTCTCCTCATTTTTTTTTTTACTCTCATTCTGATTTTAATGACTTTCTGTGTCTCTTGGTAGCTAATTCCCAGTGGCCTTTTCCTCATTTTATTTAAATTTTTGTATAAAAATGACAGCGTTCTAGCTGGAGAGAGTCTTGGGGCACAACACTAAAACTCTGTAGAGAAGGAAATACGGGCCAGCAATTTTCCACCCAAGGTCTACATCTTACCCCAGATGCTTGTCCTGCAAAGGGTCAACACGTGCTGACCCTGCAGAGGAGCTGCTCGGCTGCAGAATTTACACAGAGAACCCCCAGGGAAGCCAGGACCTTGTTGTCAGGGTCCACAGGCTGCATCTTTGAATGCAGCAATTCCCACAGCATGAATTCCCTGCCCTGGGAGGGCTGTGCAAGTGGTTGCAGCTGGCCAGAATATGGGTGCGCAGTTACTAATGCTGATTTTATAGCATTAATGCGCACCTGGTTTGGTGGCCAACTGGCACACTCTTCAGCCTGAAATGTGTGTGTAAGCCCTGTATTAAAAGAGGCATAAGAATTAGTATGTATCAAACATGTTATTAGACACGTGCCTGGTAGACATAATGTAGGCTAATGAACATGATCACAGGAATAAATTAATAACCGAAAATATTTTTATATATATGCACACTTAAAATGGGATAAGAACTAAGTGACACTTGTGTCACCAGTTTATAATTAAAATGCAGTGCTTGAATGAAAATGTAAGCTTCAATTAGCCAGCACGACCCTGCTTCCGGCTTTACTTCCCACTGAAAAGCAACGATAACAAGCTCACATTTATTATCAGAGTTTTTCCTGGAGCTGTGCACTGAAACATGCTCACATCTGAGCCCTTTCACTGAAGACATTTTTTCGCTTCAGCAGTTTGGCATGCCATACAAAGGCTCTCTGATTTTTAGTGATGTTCACCTCCTCTTACATAAAAATGTTTTCTGTGCATATTATTTGGTTTTAGTTAAAGTCCAGGTGCATGGGTGACTGCAGAACCAAAAGGATCGCTCATCACCCAGCACAACGGGTAATTATTGCTGAGCTTCGCTGCCTCACACGCACAGATCCTCTCTTGGAGCTCAGCTTTGTGGCTCTTACAGAAAGAAAATACCTACGAGCTAGCCCAAAGTGCTACAAGTGTAAGAACAGATCCTCTGCTGCATCCTCTGCCCGTTTTGTGTTTATCTGTCCCAAGGGACAGAGCTTAACCACTTTGTTTAGAGACACTAATTTACATTTTAATTTCATCTGTGGCAAGTTATGTTAATTATGAGGTCTCATGTGTTCCCCTGCTTTCATCCCAGGAGTCTTCTCTCTGCTAGTTAGGCTTTTTGTAAAATGGTCAGATAGTTGCCTGGGTTTGGTCCCAACATTTAGCCAAGGTTGGGATTTATTTGTGCAAGATCCTTCCTGATGGTCCACGTGCCGATGAGGCCAAAGGAGGGCAGGGAACGTGTTTCTTGACTAGTGCTTAAAGCAGCTAGCAAAAGAGATGCCAACCCCAGCCAGGTCCAAAAGGTCAACATATGGTAGCTGAGATTCCCAAATGAGACTCAGGGAATATGTTTGTCCTGATGGAGATGGGACCGAGCATCCTGATGGATATCTTCTGCAATGCCCCCTCCAATATTTAAAGAAATTTCTATAGGCAGAATTGCTGTAATGTAGGAGTGGACGTCAAGCTGGAATATCTTAACTCGGACTAGACATATGCTCTTAGCTTTGGGTCAGACAGTGATGTGTGGTGCAGTCAGAGTCCTAAGGGACTTTGCAACTTGTAAAAACCACAAACCTCCTATTTTTTTCCCACTGGTGCTATTCACATGGGATGGAATGACCTCTCCCAAATGCCTTTCCAACAGCAGCAGCAATTCCCTCTCAATAGCATTTAATAACTACCCATGGAGAAAATTACACTCTATTTAAAAGGCCAGAAAAATCATATTCAGTTTAACTCTGCTGACTTTGGTAGAATTGTACCAAAAATGAATTTTATCTGATATCTTTTCTCATACTAATTTTCATTGGCTGGGATGAAAAAAAATAAAAGGAAAAGAAACAGAACCAGGCATTTCAAGGCTGCTTAAGCAAGTCTGAATGGTGAAATATTCTTTTAATTTCCATTTACACACACAAATGGAAGTTTATTTTAGGTGTAGCTTGGAAAGCTGCCCTTGCACGAGGCATCCCTTTAAATATTTATACCGCATCAGTATGTAGCCACATTCATGTGCTTTTAATGATATATTCCTTTCTAAATTACCATTGGGTAACATGCTCTATAGCGGTTCATATTTTGCACTGCATTTATGCGACCCTCGGTGTTTTATTTATTTCTTTGGCCATGGAAATGAGGAAGATGCCGAAGCAAGACCCAGGGGCACAGTGGAAATCCAGTTCTTGCTCCGTAGCGCTTGTGGGGCGGCTCGGCGGCCGCGGGGATGGAGCGTGGGGTGTTCTGTACGTGCTGCCATTTTGCCTCCTGCTCAGTTTGACTGCGGTGTCGTGGCTTCATCAGCAACTGGTGGCTTCGGAGGTACCTGCAGTTTGGGCTCTGCAGATTGGCACTCTGTATCATAAAGATAAGTTGTGTTGTTAGATCTGCAAGGCAACCTTTCCTTCTCTCTCATGCTCACGGGACCTTCTTCTATACCTGTTACCCAAGTAAGATCTTCCCCTCTGTCAATAAACATCTTGGTTGAGGATAACGAGCTAAACAAAATATCGAAATACAATTTACCTGAGTTGCAACATAATCGGGAAAGGAACTGATTCACAAGCAATTCCCATGCAGCCGTGGAGCTCATTTCCTGCTGTTCCCACTGCGGAATCAGTCGTAGTAAGGATGTCGTCGGCTCCGCTGGCACACGGGCTGCTTCAGAGAAGCACAGGGGTATTTTTGTATCCTCTCTCCTATGAACCAAATCTGGTAGGATTTGGCTCCAGCAGTGACTTGGTTAGCTCTGCTAATGTACGAGTAAAGAGACATTGTTTGCTCCAAACAAAAGCCATCTGGGCTTGGCATGCTCACGGCTTCTCCCAGGAAAAGAATCCATGAATCAGCTAAATACAGTGAACTATTCTCTCCAACCATGGGAAGGCAAAGGTATGGCTGAGCTTAACATCTGCACTTCGGGCTGCTCTTGTGCGTGCAGCAGTAATTTTTACTCAGGGCTTGCTGCAAATCTGGTTAAATTTGCATTTTTGGAGGCAAGTAGTCAATGCATCTGAAGTGCACACTTGACATATGTTTCTTTTCACATGCTGTCCTCCGTTCATTTCATGTAGCAGATGCTCAGTTTACCACTTCAGATGTATTCTTATTTACTAGAAATTATTTTAGAAAACAGCTATTTGGAAGGCAACATTTTCCGACCTTCTTTTGGATGTTTAGGGCTCCTTGTTGCATCTACCCTTTGTGGCTACATGCAGATGTTGACAGGTTAATTTGCATTTGAAGAGCTGGATGCAGTGAGCTAAGCACGGGTTTTCTTCCCTGCCTCTAAAGGCAGTTGCTCACCCGCTCCCTGCCAATTCCAGCCCTGCTGCTGCTCTTCCTAATTAACTAGAGCAACACCCAAGCGGAGTTTGGCCCATCCTTAACTGTCCATTTATTCCAGGCTGAATTAAGCCCCCTGACTATGCAAAAGGAAGGAGCTCAGCCTAAAAATCGATGGTACAGCAGTGAAATGCAAAGACGGTCCCACTTGCAGAGCAAGGCAGGATGTACAGACTGCTTCGTCCCAGTTCCACGATACCGTCCTGCTTCTAGAAAATGCAGGTCCAAACCTTGGAGCTGCAGTCCCTGCATTAGCTGGCTGAGCTAAACCGCTGGAGCCAGAAATGTTTTAGTAGCAAGGGAATCCTGCTATCAGAAACCCAGGCAGTTTGCACCACCTGAGCCCCTTCCTAGATCCCTCTTTTTTGTTGTGTGTTTTTCCCCCACCTTAAAATAAAGTTGCAAAATGCAACTGCCCCCGAGCTGCAGCCCCATCGCAATCAAGGCCAGTACTCGTTGCTTCCTCTGCATTTCCCTTCGTTTCTGATGGATGTTTGTTGGCCTCCATCTGTATTTGGGAGCATTAGTAGCAAAATTTCCACGAGAAACGGAGTCAGCTGCAAAGTAGTTCAGCACCCCTATGGGTGATATAGCCCTATATGGGCTATGTGTGAGACCACATGCACTATAGGTAAGCGCAGTGGCCCTTCTTTATATCCTCCAGTCCATCGTTTGCATCACACGTGCAGCTCTTTGCATCATACATGAAGCCTTTCTTATAAATGCCTATTTTTCCATTGCAACCACATCAGGGGACGAGACAGGCAAGGCAGGTTTTGCCATGACATGGGCACGATCCAGGTACCCAGTGACATGAGCTCATGCACATTGACACACACACACTCAGATCGCCACAGACAAGAAAAACTAAGAACAGGATTTTTGACCTTCAAAGTTTCTCTATCTCTGAACATTACAACTGGCTGGCAACGAGATCCAGCTTGTCAACAACGAGAAATAAAAGAAAAATAAAACTAATTTAAAACCCCACAGTGGCAGTGGAATAAATTCCTACATTTATCATTTCAGAGGTTCCCATTGCTCCTGCCTCTTCTCCTGCAAGGTTTAAATTATTAGATTTTTTTTACATTATGCTTTCTCTCCTAAGAATAGAATACAATTTACAGAAGCTCATATGGATGAAAAAGTGTTTTCCTTTTGTGCTTTTGCTCACAAAGTTAACACGCGCAAGCCTGCACCTTTTACCTTTCCAAACCTCACTTCATACTAGCAGATAAATTAATTCAGTATTGAAAAATAGGTTTCAAAATCCCTAAAAGAAGAAGGGTTATTGCCTGAGCTTCTGCTTAAGAAATATCATGCCTCGCACTGTTTGGCACAGGACTTTGGACTGGTTTAAGGTGCAAAGTCTCATAACTCTTCCACATGCAACTGGTTCTACCGGCTGTAGAAATGGAGATATTTGCACAAGATTCTTAGGGTGCAGAGAGGTTTGCGGGATGAGGGCCTATGCTCACCCTAACAGCTGCAAATAATCTGGTAAGGTGAAAGTCAGTATCAAATACTGTAAATCTCGCAATTTTTAAGCTTCAGAGAGTAATTTTTAAGCAGAATTTTAACCCACATGTACATGAATTATTTCTATTCTCTTGCTCAAAAATAGCAGTTTGAGGCTGACTCATAACGTCGTAACGCAGGGTGAGAGCGTGGCCAGGCACCTGCCCGTGACCCGCAGTAACAACCTTCTGTGTGCACCCGGGCCGGATACCCAGCCCGCAGATGTGGCGCCGCAGAACGAGGCTCGTTGTCCCTCCTTGACGCTGATGGTCAGGGCAGGTCCCGCGTTTTGGGGCCGAACATCTCGCTATCGGCCCGGGCCGGCGGG